TCATATTGTCCCATGGTTTGGAGGGAATCTATCACTCTCGCGAACGTTTTTTGTTGAAAGACAAATCCAGGGGGCTTGAGCGAATGGAGGGATTTCAGACCGTAGGTTGTCTGATGGACCAAATCCTGCATGTGGATGAAACCCCCATGACTACTGGGATAAACCACCAACTGGTGGAGCACGAGAGCCTCTGAATCTTGCCCCTGCAGGAGCGTTGGCAAGGACCAGTCCTTGTCCAGCCTTGGCTGCGATCAAGCCCAATCCTTAGGAGCGCCCAGAAAGTCGGACCCACCTAAGCTCTGTATGACCCCGCTTAAAGGGGCACGGTACTAGGTGTGTGTGATTCGCAACCATGCTTATAACCAACTCAGGGGGCCTTACAGCCCGTGTACCCTTTCTTTTGATGGAACCCAAAATGGGTAGTTTTCCTTCTGGCATTCCTTGTTATTGTTTTGCTTCAAGACCACCAAACAAAGGGTACCCTCAAAAAAAGATACACACCCATTAGACTCTTTCAAGGAGGTCGTTTTTAGGGGCAAACGGCCCTCGAGTGGTGTGGACCCTTCACGCATATGACTGGCTCAGGCTTCGCTCATGCAGCTTTGGAGCGAGTGGAAGACTGCAAGGAATCCTGCTCTGAAGGAGGAGGAGAACGGCCATGTCAAAAGACATGTGCTTCTTATTGAGTCTCGGTATACTTGTCAGCTTGGTTCAAGAAACCAACAGGAAAGCTGCAATTTGTGGGGTCCCTCTACCCTGACACATTACCCATTGGCTACGAACTTGGACAGAACAGTCGGCGATAATCTTGCATCATACCTGAGCTAGTGCAAAGCTTCCCAGTGATTGGCTGCGATTGACTGTTCATGGCTCTGGGGAACTCAAGCAAGGAGTATGGGGTCTATCGCAAGACCGGTTTGGTGAGCAGAAATCAGCATCACGATGTCCACGACAAACCGTCAAAACCCACCAACGGCGCTTCTCCGGGGCAAACCAACATGATGCCTGGCATTGCAGCGCTCCGATCCCATTCTGCAACCACCGAGTTGAATCCAAATCAGCATTTGGTACTAAAGGGGTCCACTAAAGGCTGCAAAGCCTGGATATGACTCTGCGGTCCCCCACCTTTCTCTACCCAAGTTTTGATCTTGGGCTCATTGGCTACTCATTTTCTTTTCAGGACCTGATGCCGATCCACATTCCTTGGGAAGACATCAGGAACGCCTAACGCGCAGAAGTTCCCCGCGGGAGCAAAAAGGGCGCGGGCGTTGTCGGAGTCGCGATTCCACTTGCCAAGACCATGAAGTGTCAGCTGGGAGCTTCTCAAATGGACACCCTTTTAGTTGGTATTCAAAGAGAAGCACCACACAACCAACCCCTTTGACCCCTATTTCGAGAAACTCACAGCTTGCTTGCTGGGTTGCAGCTCACAGTTGCCGCTCTCGACTCAAGGTACTAAACATCGAGCCATCAGCTTGAAATGAACTCGCCCAACTGCTCATTGCAACAAGTTTGAGCTCACAGATTTCTTAGGCCCCTCAAAGGGCGCGCACTCGTAGCAGTTTCTTCCAGTCCCTTGGCGACAAACATCTTGCGATGGCGTCGCCCTACCAAGGAGATGCCTACCGGGCGCCGGACACATCTCCCCTGTGGCAGTCCGGGAGCAGTGGCTCGTCAAAAGGAAAGCGTGCCACATGGTGCCACATGGGTTTCAAGGGCGTCATGTATGGTCAAAATACACCACGCAACTTGGCTGGTCTTGAAGCTTTTGATGGGGTTTTAGACCATGAACATTCAGGCCATGACGAAGACAGACATAGTTGGCTTTGAGCATAGCACACATGAGCAGTTGCCAATATTTGACGGTACTGGAGTTCGGGAAAGTCGTGCCTTGAAAGCCCAGATGTGCAGAATTCCATGCGGAAGCGAAACCGGGAAAGTCGTGCCTTTCGTTGCAGTTCAAGTGTGTTTTACATCCTAGGCTGGAAAGAACGTAGGAAGCTGCATGTTTTGTGCCGTGTTGCGTTTACATGGGGGTTGGCTGCGCTTGGCAGCTTCAGGATGGCGCACGGAAGTGACCTTCATCTTCATCTTGCGTTTACAGTGTGTTTGGCAGAGACAGAGGTTGCTTGCATGACTTCAACTGCAAGTTCAACATTGTGTTTCACCTGTGCTTGTATCAGCTTAGCTTGCGTGCTTCCGGGGAACACGCATGGGGGCACTGATCCTTGAAATTCAGGATGCTCTCTCTCCTGTGTAAGTCGATGCGTCGGCTTCCAACTTTGTGTGCCACGCATGAGGAAGTCAGCGCGGCTTGCGTCCTGGTGGGGGCGTACATATGTATGGTTTCCGTTGAGTTCGAATCCCGCGTGGGAGCAGGCTGCTCGTCGCCATACCGTTGGCACTTGAGCGCTGCTGCCTGTGCTGCTGCTTGTGCTTGCGCTTGGGCTTGTGCTGCTGCTGCTGGTGCTGGTGCTGCTGCTGCTGCTGCTGCTGCTGCTGCTGCTGCTGCTGCTGCTGCTGCTGCTGCGTTTAGAGTGGGGAGGTCGCCGGGGGAAGATCAGACCTCTTGTTGAAACTAGACACACGCTTTCGTCCGCTGATCTCGCGGGCATGATGTTTGCGTCGCGTTTAGAGGGGAGCCATCAAAGGAAAGGTTTGGGCGTGACTTCTTGAATGTTGCGTTTACAGGGGGGCACCGCCCTGAGGCAGGACTTAGGCATGATTCTGCCAAATGCCTGTTACTGTTAGTTTGGGGAGGACGACCAGGTGAGGGGGCCACGAAAGCGGATGGAAGATTTACCACATAGGGGCCACGGGGCCAATATGCTGTTATGAAGCCATTGTGGTACTGTGGATGGACGAAATCCTGCACTTCGAAACCATGGTTGAACCATTGTTGGTTGGTTATTTACAGGTTAATCATCAGAAACCGGGTTTCAGAACGGTGGTGCGTTTGATGGATTTTGTTTATCCAAAAAAAATCGGCCATGGAACAAACCTCGTCTTCGGCCGCTTCGGACCGTTTCAGGTCGGGTGATGTACGTCGCGCCCGATGCCGGGCATCCGGCTCCGGCGCCGCTCGTCTCGAGCGGCTCGCCGCCTTCGCTGCCGATAAGGCAGGTGGGCTTTGCCGGCGATGGCGCACAGCGGCAAGAGGACACCACCGACAGCGAGGACCGCTTGTGAAGCTGTTTTGTGTTCTGTGCGTGGTCTAATTTGGGTGGTTTCAAGAGCCAAGATGTACAGCTTATTAAGAATAAGACGCCCAGCTTGAGCAACCGACTATGATCAGGTCCCTCCTCGTTCGCTCCTGGAGGGAGGATTGTCCTCTGATATCTACAACTCCCTGCGTGACCAGAAGCGATATTGCTAGATGGGCAGTTTTGATGAAAACCCGGCAAGCTTGTGTCTCCCAGCGTTTTCGACGCTTTCATCCCAGCATCTTTGCTTGCACGCCATCCGACCAATCATGATTCAGATCAGGGTGTGTCCTCACTTTGGGGGAGTATTTTTGGACACATAGGCGTTGAAATCGGAAACTTAGTTGAACACTCTTCCGCATGTTTGGGGTTTTAAAGTCAAAAGGAGGCCAACGATATTGCAGTCAAATAGGCTTTCAAACAAGCTTTTCCCAAACCACCTCGTACTAGATAATATAGTCCCCAGCCCCAAGCAAAAATGAGGCACATGACCATTATATTCCTTCACAAGTCGGGTAGATGCCGGGTAGATGCCCTCTTGGACAAAGGGTCCCGCGCGCAGTCCATGACTCAAAATGGGAGCTCGGGAAGCTCAGAACAGGGGGCCCAAACCTGGTATAGTGCCTCATGGTTCCTGGGATAGTGGGGGGTGGATCGGTGCCTCGCTTTCCAGGTGCCCCCCACTCGCTCAGAGCAGACTGGGCTTTTTGCCATCCGTTTTGGCAGGTAACCAGTCAGGCGGTTTGGAGCCCGGTGGTTTGGATTTGAACCCCTGGACCTTGAGGGTAAATGGGTTTAGCAACCCGTTAAACCAGTGTAACCACTAAACCACCGGGCTCCAAACCACCCTTCTTGAGGAAGACTGCTTTTTGCTGGGCGATTTGGCGCCTGCCAAAGCGCTAAAGCGCTAAAGCGCAAAGCGCTAAGCGCGCGCCTCAGGACTCGGAGGAAGCCCCCGGCAACCCGTCGCTGGTGCGCCGGGTCTCCGCGCAGGTCATGGGCTGGGGCGCCGCGGCTCGGGTCGGGAGCCGGACCCGGAACCTGCAGGAGCACGCGCGAAATTCGCAGCACTCGCGGAACGGGGGCCTGGCTCATCCAATGGTGGAGCCTTGGGTTGGGACTCATTTAGAGGGGAGCCCGGGTCTCCATCATGGAAAATTTTGGGGTAGACCAAAGATGCCGCAGAGGCTGAGTTGAGCCTGGGCACCTTTCAAGCCTTTAGGCTGAGTAGCAAAGCTGAAATGAAGCCATATAAGTCAACAAGATTTGGTGGGGGGGTTCAAGCAGTAGCAAGGCCTTTTAATGGCAAATAATAGAGACAAGGTGTTTGGAGGGTGGCCTGTCCTCTTTAGGCTGGCAGATCCCATATTCTAGAATTACTTCCATTTCCCCTGCTTGTGGTTGGAAGACTGGAACATTGCTCGTTTTGGTTGGTTGAATTCACTTCCCATCTTTTCTCCATTTTGCTGGGTGGGCGATCTCATTTATGTTTTTGTTGGACGATCCCATTTGTAGTGCGATTTCCCACACTCTAGTACCATTTGTTGGTTGCAAGATTGATTTGTAGATCCATGCTCCTTCTTCGGTTAGATCTGTTTGTTGGAAACTACCCATCTGTGTCCATTTCGGTGGGAATATCCCACTGCTCCCAGCTGGATTTGTTTGTTGGAAAACACCAATTTTTCTGCTGGACTTTCTGTGGAACATCCAGGAGTCGTCTGCTTTCAGGATTTTTCCGCCCAGAGGCTCCCGATTAGGGCCTACAAACAACCAGGCTTTGAGACCCCGAATTTTCTGCAATGTGTCTAAGGAATCGAGGGGCCGGGTCTTCCATTGAAAGGTCCAGGCGGTTTCTGGGCGTTGAGAATGTCTCTCGTTTTTTCGGTTGAGGGAGAGGTCAATCACCTACCCCCGGGTGTTGAACAAAAATCTGGGTGTTGAAAAAAATCTGGGTGTTGAGAATTTTTCCGGGTCCTTTTTCGGTCCCTTCCCCGAGCCTCGCTTGGGACGGCAACAAAAATCGGAGCCTCGAAGCCCTCGAGGAGCTGGAGGAGCGGGGCATGAGCCGGGCGGAGGCCAACGCGCAGGTGGTGGCGGAGCATCGCAACGAGGCGCCGCGGTAAAATTGAGCCGCCGCGGCGGCGTCGGGTTTACCCGTCGGGTTTAGGGGGAAGCCCACGGCCCACCGGTCGTCTTTTTTTTTGGGGGGACATCCCCTACAAAAGGACATAGTTTACGGTGTTTTTGTGGCTGGCAAACAAAATGTCTAACAAAGGCCCCGAGGTTCTTGGGGGGTGTGTTGTTTGCTCATGGGAGTAAAATAGTTTGGGGGTGTTTCTTTCCTGGAGTTGGCACCTTTAGGGGTTGTTTGCAAGGGAAGCCAAAGAAATAACATCCATTGTGACAGGCTATTGCAGCATTGCACAGGGTTCCCAGATGTCCCCTTTTGGCTCTGTTGAATGTCACCTTTTGTTTGCCAATTTAAAGTGAGTTTCATTTGTATGGCGCAAGAGGGAGAGTCTCGACGGAAAGCTTCATGACGACTCGGAAAACCGGGTCCCGGCGAGTTCTAGGTGACACAGTTGGGAATTTCGAATGTTGAAACCAATGACAGGATTCATGCAAAACGTGAACTGCATTGCATTTCGTGAGGCGGCAATCCTGGCGTAGGCTTCGGCCTAATGGAGTAGGAACTGCTTGGTTGTCCCTCGCTGCGTGCGTCGCGCGCTTGGTGTTGACGTGGACTCCACATTGCAAATGTGGATTCAACGCCTCCGCCTCACCCCCCCGTCCCCAACCACTGGTTTCATGACAGCCTTGTTCGGGTCTTATTTTGAGGAAACGGGGTGCGTGTCCCCCGAAATAGACGCTGAACTATCAAACAATGACTGCTCAAATGGGGGGACCCTTAAGCAAATTGCAAGACCCTGTGCACATTTCAAGCACATGCCTTGTTGTCCAAGGGCTCCCAAAAATAGCCCACCCAAGCCACCCTTCCACCCAAAGGCACCCACTCACCCTTCCACTCACCTTTGAACCCCTGCTCTTTTTTTGCAAAGAGGTCCTCTTTGCGACTTACTCCAAGTACATTGTGTGCTTCGGCGTCTTCGCCATGTTTTTGAGCGTGCTGATCCTGGCGCTGGCGAGCTGGCACGTGGCCATGTTCATCCAGTACCACGACGTGCGCTGCCGCGGGTCTTTGAAGCTGCTCACGAAGAGACTCGGAATGAGCCGAGAGCCAGACGCTTCCAAGCCGATCTTTGGGGTCTCCAACACATTTTTGGATTTTTGTGTGGACTAGATATGGGATCTCCAAAACATTCTAGGTTTTAGGGTAGACTACAGACTGCATATAAAACAGAGTGGGAAGTTTAGTTTCCTTTGTTTTTTCTTCGGTGTACCCCCAGATGCGGGCCAAGCTTAGATTTGATGTGAAAGGGATGTGTGAAACATGCTACTCAAAACTTAACTTTTAGCAAGGGGTGAAGGAATCACTAAGGATTATCATCTCCATCTCCCTCTTCGACATTGCACCTTGGAATTAATCTCCGGACGTTACGTCAACATGTATTTCTTGGCGCCTTGGAGTTCTGCAGATCACTTTTGTCAGTGTGTTTGACGGTGGCTTGATATTTGGTTAAGTGATTTTGTCGCACCACTTTGGAACACATGTTTGACTATGCCTGGGGATTTGTTGGTCGCACAACACTTTGAGTGTTTGAGTTTTCTCACATTTTTTGCTCATGGTATCTCCCTAGCTCACGTGAATCAGACTTTGGGAACCCCTTCCAAACGGTTTTCTATTTGGGTGTCTTTTTTGGAGATACCCTGTTGGGATTGATTACAAGCCCACTTGGTCAACCTGACCGTCATGTCGGTTTTGCTGAAGTAGAGGGTTGATGTTCAATGGTCCGCTATCGATTTCTTGTGATGTCGGGCCACTCTACCATACATTTACTTGTCCCTTATACGAACCCCTTGGAAAATTCAGAATTTTCCATAATGTTCAATTTCCGCCCAACAAAAACAGAAAAATTGTCAACATTTTCCAGAGCCCCTTTCTTTCTGGCACCCAGATCAAGCACGTTGCGAAACGCGATGTTCGTCATGTCGGTTTTGCCTTTTGCATGTTGCTTTCCAAGTTGAGGTTATGTGTCAACACAGCAATCATGCATGTGTCTATTTTTAGCCCCCCCACCCCCCTTGCGCCCCCCCCCCCCCCCGCTAAAAACAGGAGAACCGTGATTGTTGTCCTTGTTGTTTCCCCTTCAAGCCACCCAAAAAGCACAAAATTCCCCTAAAACCGACACCGGCCCAAAGCTTGGGGCGGTTCCCTTGATGGTTCCGCCCGTTGAGCTGGGCACGAAGACGCGCATTCCAAATTCCACGGGCCGCGGAGGTAATGGGCACCCGGGTCTGCTGCGTAGAGCTGGACGACTTGCGGCTGCCGCGGCAGTGGAAGTGTAAGGACTGCTGCGTGCTGCTGCTGTTGGCGGTGCTTCGGATCCGAACGGGCCAGAAACTACTGCTGGAAGTATTTATTTCCGCGCGACTCAAGCAAATGGAAGTTAAACGCAGAGATAGTTGGACAAAGTCCATTCTGACCACTTTGTTTCCATGGTTGAAACCATAACGTTTCTTGGTATGCAGGATAATCATCAGAAACTAGGGTTTCTCAGGTAGTGCTGGATTTTGTCCATCCACAGTATTAGTAGGTGGTTCGGTTCCTGCCTTGCCTGGTTTTATGAGGGTAACCATAAGGCCTAGATAACTCTTCAGTTTGAGCTGGGTCACGGCACCTGACCAGAGGCTAGACTTGGGGGACGAGCCTCTTAATCTGAACAAGCCAGGGGCGGAGCCCTTTTGCTCACATCCAGTATGGGAATCCCAAGAAGGGGTCGTCTCCAAATTGGAGAACCCCTGAACCCCCCCCCAAAACGAGTGACGCCTCCCTACCTCAACGAGGGATTTATAAAGCAACTGGGTTTCCGCTACTGCAGCCGTGGATGTTGACATCTAAGGTTGATCAGGGACAGTCTCCTTCGGATTCCTTTCAGGGGTGGGATGAAGGTGTCCTTCCAACGGTCTGGGTGGATTGGAGATGGCGGTGTCTGAACAATTCGTTTTGGGCGGTTGCCAATCAAGGGACTGGGAAACCATTGCCTGACTTGAAGTCACACCCAGATTCCAATGGCTTCACTTTGAGAAAACACCTCTTCCACTGAAATCCAGCCATTTTCAACAAACACTTAGACCCTTCTATCCCCTGAATCAGCCCCACCCTCCCACCCCAGCCTCCAAAAAGAGAGGGGGACACCCCCCATCTTCACCCGAGGTGATGGTGGTGAACATTTGGATCATCCTTTGGCTCTCCCAAGCCTCGCAGAACGGTGACAAGGCCACGATCCAAAGAGCAACTGACACAATCACTCTGCCTATTTTGGGACGAGCGATTTCACCGATCCGTGGGGACAAAACGAGCGAAAGCCCAATGTAGGTCCTTTACTTGGGTCCCAATCCCTGGCCTTTGCTTGGGGATCCCTTTCTTGGCAGAATTATCACTGGCCAGTTGGTAGCCGCTTTTGCACAACGTCCCCTTCCGACTTAGGCTCCAGACCCAACATAGAAGGTTTAGTCTGCAGTTTGTTTGAAGCATTGGGTGGTCACTGGGAACCTGGAGTTAGGACCACCAATTTTCCCATGTTCTTTGTGGGAAGCAAGCAATCTTGCCCGGAACTCCTCGCGTGCCATGCTCGAAGCAACTTTTAACAGGTTGGTGGAAGTGGTCATCGACCCACAAATATGGAATTCAGGCAACCACTGTCGGTTCCAATAGATTCATGACCCACACTGGTGTTGACCATGGCCAGCTGGCCAACATGCTTGGGCGTTATTTTGGAGTCCCCTCTTTCACGACGCGCTGGTAGCACCCAGTTGGAATCCAACCTGTGACACAGCCTTTCAAGGTCCTTCTCAGGTATGGGTTTTGGAGGTATGGAGGCTACATATGTACCCCTTACAGGTGCATGGTTTTCCTTGCAACCGTACATTGCATTCTGTTGAAAACCCCACTTTCTTCGTAGGAGCCCCCTCCCCCAATCAGCAACTGGGTAGCTGCAAACATCAGCGCGTCCTAAATTTGCCAACCTGCGGACTCGATGTTTGCCTCGGATTCGTTGGGGGCTCAAAGAGACCAAGCCGGGCGCTGGACCATGCTGTTTATGCCGCCGCGAATGACCAGTACAGGGGGAACTGAGGAGTAACAATGCTCCTCAGGCTGCCAGCCTCTCCAGACCACAAAACATCCAAGGAACATTTGTTTTGAAAAGAACAATGGTTGAAACAAGTGCCATCCCGGGCTGAGCAAGGAACCAACACAGAGCACGACCACATTTTGCCACCCGCCGCACTGGACCATACCCCTGATGGAGAACCCCCTCATGATTTCCCCAACCTCATTAAACATTATTTGTATCAACATAGGAGAAACCAAGAATGGTGTTCTCCTTTTGGTTTCCCTCCAAATCAAACACTTGAAGAGGGTACTCTCGACCCATTTTCTGACGCGAGGCAGACCTCCGCCCCTACGAGGAGCTTCCCCCGTGCCAAGAGGCGGCGCCGGCGCTCTACACGGCCACGATGGCTCATGGTGTGGGCTTGATCGTGTACACTTTGCCCCTTGGCGTTGCCAGGCTTACCCGGGTTGATTTTTTTGGGCGGTTTCTGGCGAGTAAATGTCAAAAAATCAAAGTGGACCTGTGAGGGAAAGTTTGAGGGGTTTCCGGCGGTTCATGTCAAGATCAAAGCGGGTACCTGTGATGTTCTGAACTTGGTACCTGTGATGTGCGGCCAAGCACTGTAGCACCCTGGGCTGTGGTCGCTCTAATGTACACACGCTCAAGGCTTTGGCCAAATAGCACATTCGATGTGTACCCCTGGGCTGGTGTGCACGCCAACCACTGGTCATTTATTAGCTTGTACCTGAATGTGTTGAAGTGATAGAAGGCTGTACAAGCTATTTGTCTGTACCTCTAGGGGTCGGAAAGGCACATTCCAAACTACAAAATGCCCAGGGCTGTATTCTGGGGAGCTTCTATGAGCAGGACATGACAAGATTTGACTTGTGATGCGCTTCTTGTTGAGCATCTTGTAACCACAAGGTAAGCGCTGCGCGCTGCCCACCTCAGCCAGGCTCAAAAGAACCATAGGAGCAATGCGGCCTTGAGCAGATAATGCCTGCTGGGCTGAGCAGTCTGGAGGGTGCCAAGTGATGCCAGGAGCTTGAAGCATTGGGCTAAAGCTGCCCACAGGGTGGGAAGAGCCGCCCATCCCTGCTCTCCAGTGTGCAGTGGAACTCTTGGCCGCGTTGCATCTTTGGATTGTCGCCCAAGGTAAGTTGGAACCCTTCCGCCAAGAGGCATTCCAACCTGTTGTCCGTTGTGGTTGATCACGCGGACTCACCTGCACCCTGGTGTTGCGCGTTTACTGTTCTCAGCTCTGGGTCCTGTTCCTCAAGTTGCTGTAGGGGGCATCGCGCTGCAATCCATGGAGGGCAAACATGCGTTGCCCTGGTGCTGATGGATCTGGTGCCTGTGGAAACTCCAGCGGTTGAATCTTGTTGATCCACTTGTTATCACGGCGAGCGTTGCTGTCTGTCTGGTCATTTGTGTCAAAGTCTGTGGCTGCCAATTATTCGCAGTTGCGAATCGCTTTCGATCCTTTGCCCTCCTTGTTGGTGGTTGTGGTCTCCTTGTCCTTTGAACAGGTTGCCTTTTCCAACCAGGCGATATGTTTCCTCCTTTGTTGCTGTGATTGTGTTTGAATTGTAGTTGCCGTAGCTGACGGAGCCTTTGCCCTTGTTGTACTTTTGTTTACCTTCGGCTCTGCCTTTCTTGCCCTGTTGCTGGCCCTTGGTTGTTGTTGTTGTTGTTGTTGTTGTTGTTGTTGTTGTTGTTGTTGTTGTTGTTGTTGTTGTTGTTGTTGTTGTTGTTGTTGTTGTTGTTGTTGTTGTTGTTGTTGTCGTTGTCGTTGTCGTTGTCGTTGTTGTTGCTGTTGGCCCTTGGTTGTTGTCATCCTGCTTTGTGGTTGTAAAAAGTTCCTCAAACTTTGCGTTCATCAATCCGAGCTTTGAGTTGTGCTGTAAGGTGCCCAATGCTTCTTGTACCAGGTGGCATCGAACATCTGAGGTGCAGTAGTTTCCATGTCTCGAGTTGCCTTGCATGTGTTGTCTTCAAATACTTGGTGCTGGTCCATCGCCTGCGCTCACCAAAACGTAGTGTAAGTCGTTGCCCAGTTATACCCACTGCTCTTCCACTGTTTGTGTGGGTGCCGCTTGTCCCAGCTGGTCATTTGCGACTTGCAATTGTGAGTGTCCTGACTGCCTTAGTAGTCTGTTGCATGCTGGATCGTGTAGTCCAAGGTATGCTGCCATCTTGCACCTCAATTGTTCAATCGTGGTGTAAGCTCCAGTGAACCGTGGTGGTGCGATATTGTATGTGTGAACTCCCTCCTGTTTTTGCCGTTGAGCCACCATTCTTGTTGTGCTGTATAGAAAGGTCGCCAGATCTTTATCAGGTGTGTTTGTGGTTACTGCCCGCTACCATGTTAAAATCAAGGTGCATTTGTGATGCTCTGAACCTGGTACCTGTGATGTGCGGCCAAGTACTGTCGCACTTGTTTGCATCCTAAGCTGTAGTCACTCTCTAGTGCACACAAGTTTGATGTGCATATTGGTGATGTAAGACGGGTGTATGCTAGCAGTTCATTGTGATTACAAGGGCTATTATTTGTATGTGCACATGCACATAATACACACTTAAGCAAGAAAAGACCACAAACAGGTCCACGCATCCCCTCCGGCCTCTGCCAACCCTGGTGACTAGAAAGAAAGGAGCACATTCGTAACACCGAAACGTTTCGCACCAACTCCCCCAGCGCAGGGTTTTTGGTGAGGTATCTCATGGTCAGCTTCGTAGGGGTGGGCAGCATGTTGGAGGCCTTGCTGGCACGGGGGCTGCTCACCTCCAGAGAGGCCGCGCCCAAAGGCCGGATTTTCATGGGCTTTGGTGGACGGCGTTCCAGGTGGTTTCCCTTCAAGCTTCCGTACCCCAACAAATGATGTCCCTTGGAATTGGATGTGTTTTTTTTTTTTCGCGCTAGAGAATCCTATGATAAATGGAGGTTCCCCTAAAAGACTGTACAGAAGAGGAACCCCAGGTTTAAGTCTTCCGCGCAATCAAGACATGGAATGCTGGATTCAAACCAGAAGGAAACCCAACAAACGCGCTTGTCTCAAGAGGGGACCCCCCAAAAGTTGTTGTTTGTGTTGTTCCCTTTAAACCCCGTCCCAAAATGGGTGCCCTCAAATAACAGGCAAATGTCAAATGTCATGGGCAGATTTCGGAATCCCTGCTCAAAGGATTCAACTTGAATCAACTTGAACGGGAGAAGTATATTTTTTACACAGGGTCTTTCTTGAAACGGGTCCTTTGAATTGGGTAAACACGCATTTTGCAGGGGTTTCTTCTCATTTCCGTTGGGAGGCGGTTTCGCTTTACCAACAAAAACGACAACCGCAAGGGATCGTTCAAAGGGGGAACCATCAAGGCAGTCGAAAACTTGCAGAAGACTCTTGCCAAGTCCCTTGAAGCGGCTGAGTTCTGAACATTTCCTTTGGGGTGGTTGCCCTGTAAACCGCATTGTTTGAGGGGAAATTGGTTGGATGTCACTTGCATGGACCCAGAAAAGCGAAACCCAACAAACATCCCTAAACAGGGAAACAAATAAGGTGTTTGAATAGTTGAATGCCTTTCTCGCGAATGGTCAATCGCCTGGAGGGCTCTCTAGCTTTGACATACCACTGCTTCTTGGAATGGGTCTGTGGGAGATGTGACCCTTATTGCTTGATGGAACACACCCTCACAAGTGGTTGTCGAACATCTTCCCCACGGTTTTCGATCCCAATCGATCCCCGTGGTTATCGCGGATTTGTTTGGGGCTGTGGCATGTTTCCCCCTGAATTTTTAAATGGGGCGCGCAGCTTTTTCTCCTCCCGGCGTTTTTGTTTTTTGTGTTCGCTTTTGCCAGCTTGCCGCGTGGTAGGGTGCCTGGAGAGTAGCACTGTCTCACCGGACGCGGAGCAGTTGGAAGAGGACTACGAGTGTCCAATTTGCTTGGAGGACGTGGATGAGGAGACCGCCGTGATGACCAAGGAGCCTTGCTTCGGTTCGAAGGATATCAGTAGGTTAGCTTGCTGGTGCGGAATCGGCAGGGAATGAGAAATGGAATGACTCAATGACCCCGAGATAAACCATCCCCGATGTGGTTTCCTGTAAGGGAATCCCCAGGTTCATTCCCTCATTCCCTACTGAGCTCCAGCAAGTTAAACCTATGGTAAGTGGGGTTACCGGGGGTAGTCCCTTTTAACCAAATTTTGCAAACACCTACTTGCTGGGCTTCAACACCCAGGGCAGAATTTGTAGCCTGACAAAAATTCCCCAAAAGCACTTTCACGGAATCCCAAAAGGCGAGTGTTTCAACAAGGTTGCCTTGTCCTGGACTGAAGCCTAAGATCTGGGTGCTGGGGCCCTTTGCCCACCAATACCCCGCTTTGGTTTGGGATGATTATGCACAAATGTTGCCCAGTGCCAATGCATCAAATAGCCCGTGGTTGGGATTTCCTGTGACTAAATAGCTTTGGCGCAATGGCTGAACATGTGGCTAAGCCGGCCTTGCCCCCCAGAAAATCGATTCGGCAACGGGACAACCTTGCAAGGAGTGCCACCACATCTTCCATCGCACCTGCCTGAAGCACTGGTTGCAGGTGAACAGTACTTGCCCCTTGTGCCGACTCAGCTTAGCTAGGCATTAACTTGCAGCTCGCTCTTTGAAGCGACTCCGCATGCGACTCCGCACTCTTGAGGCATAGGTTTGAAACCCGCCCGTGCCGTGTAGATATGTCTGGGTTTCCCGCTGCCAATGTAACGATCGATGGCAAAAAAGCTTGCAGCAGCCGGTGTCGGCGTCGGCTAACAAAGTCGTAGGCTCCCAGGGGGTACGAACTCGGGCGATAAAGGTGCACGGGTGGGTCCCAAATGTCCAGTTTGGGAATAAGACTCCTTTTGGGTGTTTCTCCCAGGGAAATGAGGGTCACCCCCCCCCCCAAAGAAAAAATGAGAAGAAGCAACAACTGCTTACATGATTAGGAAGGCTATAGCAAGGGCTTCTGAATAAACCTGGGCACTCATGTTGGTAGAGCCAAACGTTGATGGTTTTTGGGGCCTGCCAATTGCTCGAGCCAGGGTTTGACTGGCTGATCCGGATCGCGCTGGCTTACAGCTCATGAGCGAGCGGATTGTTCACCGGCCATAGACTTGCACAAGCTCAGAAGGCACATGGCGGCTGACCTACTCAAACGAGCTAGGGGCACAGTTCCCATTCCCATTGGCCTTGACTTGTTGCGATAGGCCTTGACGTTGGCGTTTCGCTTTCCCGGACCGTCTTTCAAGATGCAGCCCGGCATGGTGAATTCCCTACAGGTGGCTGGGGGTCCCGGATGGCGAACCGGTCACTGGCCGTAGGTCAAAGTCAGTGCCTGGGAATTGCATCACCCTCCAACCACTGGATACGGAATGGTGAGGTTCATTCCCATATTCCCTTCGAACCAGCAGGTGATACAGAGGCAACAAAAGCGCATCTGGGCAATGCCCATCCCTTTTGGCCATTTCAGTGGATGGTTCTGCCTGGTTTAATTGTGGTTCTGCGCCAAAATACACCTTAAACATGGTGACTGCGCCTGTAGGAAGCCGTGCGCTTGTCACGTTTTTGCAAAGCAACATGAAGGGCTTATCTATCAAATCACAATGTTTTCCAATTCCAAAGCGCCTACGCTCATCTGTGAAACTTTCACCATTTGGAACGGCCCAGCTTGCCCAGCTTGCTAAACAAGTTGTCTTGGTGTCATCGGCGACACATGCATGCATACACAAACTCTCAGATCATATCTTCTCTGGCGCGGCTGAAGTCAGCCGTGGTCAGAAGCCAGGGAGTGCGTCCCAATCAATCCAGCCACTCTCCCGATTGAGACAGACTGCGACACAAATGTGAGGATGGAATGTTCTTGCTGCAGGCTGCGACAGAGAATGTCTTGATACTGATCCAAATTGGAGAATGAACCGTAGCGCGCATGGTTGGGCCCCGCCCTGCCCCCCTGCCCCCCAATCCCGCAAGGCGCTCTGGCAACAGTTCCGGCCTAGAGGCGCTCACTTAAACATAGCCTGAAAGGCTCAACTCGGGAGGTCGCTCACTTGGCTTTCTTCGGACACCCTCCCGCCTTCTTTGACATGGAGCCTGAGGTTCGGGAAACCAGGACCCCCGAACGTCGAACAGTTCCACGTAAGAAGGGTGGGAGGGTAGCGCCTCCGGTGCTTTCAGAGGACCTGAACCTCCGGGCCTCTCACCTCGTTCGCGTGAGTTCGTGAGTTCGAGTCCCAAGGTTCAGCAGCTGCAGGTGGCCACTGCAGGTGCGGCGGTCCGAAAGGAACTGCAGAGAACCAAAGGAAGGATATCCAAACAACCAATTGGAGGGAAGCTGATACTGCCATGCCATGTCAGGCGTATCCGCCCTGATTGGTTTGGATTGGTGGTTTGGGGGTTAGGGACCCTGATATGGGAGTTGGTCCTCAAAGGTCCCTCAAGAATGGGACGACCATTGGTTGGAAGGCCACTAAAAAGATGATATGTCCAATTTCCCACCAATGTTCGCCAGCGGCTGTGCGGCAACTTGCCGCCAGATCTGGGGCAGGGCGTTTCATTCTCTGTTTTTGAGCAAGGTAAATAGCGAAGCTATATGGGCCATGGGTGGATAGGTGTCTTAAAACAGGGGGGACCTCCAACTGGCTTCGGTTTTGAAAAAGGGTTTCCTCAAAAGAAGCCAGAGCCGTATGGGTGTGTTACTTTGCGTTAAGAACGGAAGCCCGCTTTTTTTTTGGGGGGGGGGAGTGTAAAGGGAAACAGCCATGTCGTTGTGGGTCCAGAATAGGTATCCCAAATGGAGCCCTATAGAAGATGGACTAACACCTGCGGTCTGGTGGTTTGGTTTTGACCCATATGACGCTGGAGGGAACCATCTCACAAGTGGTTGGTGGACAAGAAACCCCGACATGATGACCACAAAGGGGTCCCCAATTCCACTTAACACCCATGTGTGTGTGTGTGTGTGAGGGTCGCCTTTTCAGCTTGGCTTTAAAGGGAAACCACACGGAACCCACCCTGTTTGTTGGGTTATGTTGACACATAGCCATATGAGTGTGTCTTTAACTGGCTTTTCTTTTAAAACTACAGACACACTTGGGTATCGGTCAAAATGAAGCCACCCGGGGGCCGCAGGTTTTAGCCCATGCTTCCATTTGCCGGGGTTCCATTTTTGGAGCCTATTTTTGACCCACAGCCGCCTCTGAGAGACTCTGAGTTTGTCTTAGCATATTTTCTGTACCCAGCTTCAAGTTGCGGTATTGGCTGCACCCATCCGCCAGAAGCGCCGAAAGAACAGCTGGCGCCCCTCCTAGGCGAGGAGCTTCGGATGGGGGGGAGGGGGGGAGGGGGCCGGGGGCCTATGGAACATGTCCCTTTTGGGTGTGTGTTCCTGTTGGGAGGGTACCCTTTTCGGAGTCGCTTCAAAGGGCAACGCGAGGGACCCCATCATAGGAGTATCGGATGTCGCTTTGGGGCAGAGGAGTGGGATTGCGCGTTTGTTTGGCCTTCCAAGCCCTGTCCACTTGGAGAGGGTACCTTTTTGGGACTTGCTAAAGGAAGCCAAAGGATCGCGGAAGCAATCCGCGCTGAAACCAAATATGTGGGTCAGTTGTGAATCTGGCATCGCACGGCATGGATAGAACCTGATATGTGTCTGTTTAATGTGATCTTTCAGCTTCCCTACCAAATAGATGTCTCTTTCAGGTGAGCATCGCCTTGACCAGTTCAGCAGGTGCACTTTCTACTGCCTGTTCCCATAGCCTTCAAAGCAAGGCCAAGACAAGCCTTCATAGCCGTGCATGTAGAACCAAAGGTCCAGGGAATGTTTGGAATTTCAAATGTCGAGCCTGCAGTCGCTTCAAATGGCTTCCGGCGGTTCCATCGAATCGTCCAACTGTTGTTCCATCGAATCGTTCAACGAATCGTCCAACTTTCTGCTTGTGAACAAAGACAAACCCGCTAGATGAAATTTCGAATCCGCACCCAGAAAGCAATGCTGGCTGGATCTAGTTGTCCAAATCCGAGTCGATTTCCGGATCTCGTGC